CAAATGAATTAATCACAATCTGTATCACTTCCCTAACAATTTCACCATCACCAAAGAACTTCTGCATACTCACTAGGGATCTCAAAAGACAGATTTTCTTTTTAGTCAGAACTCCTTGTCTTAAACACAATTCAGAAGAGTTTCTGCAGATCAGGACTAGGTCACATCAGTGGCAAGACAGAACTGCTGTGGTTTGTGCTAAGGACAGAAGATATCTGTATACAAGGTGACAGTTTAGTACCTTTTAAAATGCTTTAAAATTACTTAAAAGTTAAGGAAGGAAAAAGGCTAAGCAAACAGTGTTAAAAAAGGTAGCAGTTACTGCTTGGAAGATAAAACATATAATCAGGCTTTCAAAATGGAGTATTTAATTTGTCTAAAGACTGTTACAGAACCCATTCTTAATGTACTTGATTTGCATAAAATCTTTTCTTCCAACTACCTGTTGCAGTGTGTACCTGAACTGGGGAAGTGCAGTCCTCCATCAAAATTCAGATTCGTTAAACTGATGAAAATGGGCCCCTTTGTAACCTCATTTTCTACTCTTAAAATTTCCTTGGGCACCTAGATGCCATGTGATGAGCGGTGCARATTTTTAAAATATCCTTTAAAGACCCATTAATGAAAATGGCTTTGGAGTACAGTTTCTCTCAGGAGCAATTGTAACGGTTCTAGGAACGAACTCGCCGGCAGCTCAGCGGGTTGTTTGTTGCAGCAGGCGCTGATGCAGCTTCACTCAGTGTGTCTGAGATCTTGCACGTTCCACCTGGACTCCAGAGACAGGATGGTTTCCCTCAATCGTCATGCATCATTACCAGCATTTGAAGGTGCACCGTGCCACCAAATTTAGTCTCATGTCGCCCATGCAGAAGCCCAGAGCTTAATGCTTGCCCCTATGTAAGTGGCTGGACCTCAGGAACTTCTGGTGAACACAAAATGAGGAGGTAAATCTGGTTTGTTCCTCTCTAGAGAACAGTGTAGACTAGCAGACCTAGCAAGCCAGGATGGTTTGCCTGGCTTGGATATGGATGATATTCTCCACATCTTGGCAGGGTTCTCCAAAAGCAAGAAGAGCAGGCCAAAATGCATGACACGTAACTATGCCATTCTTCATTTTTGCCATGCCATTTTTCTTTCTAAGGAAATATCTTTCATTGTAGAAAACTGTGATAATTAAAGTGTCCTATTTATGTGAATATATATTTTGGTCACATAAAGGTATGCTTGAAATTTAGCATATAGCAAGTCTCAGCCCAGAAATAGGAAATTCTTTTACAGTGTTGCTAAATGGTGTATCTGCTTATTGAAGTGACAGGAAGGTTCAGTGAGCTGCAGGAGATGCTTCAGTGGAGGTGACAGACCCTGCTGGATCACAGACTACACGGACAGACAGTGTTTCGGGCACAAACTGCTCCACAGAAGCGGAGCAGGGCGACGCAGCAGATGGTTAATGGGAGTTTACCAAGTATTTCAGCTAACGCGGCAGTCCTGGCAGCCAAAACGCTTCAGAGAGGGACTGAAAGTGAGTAAGATGGTCACTGCCTTTCGCACGCCGGAGTCAGTGGAGCCTGAGGACTGGCAGAGAGGCTGGCAGGCAGCACGACGGTCGCAGCGTGAGAAGCCGACAGGATACGTTTTCCTGCAGGCAGATACACTTAGCTGAGCCCACGCTCCCGATAGAGGAAGGGCCCGGGAGCTTCCTCGGTGCCCCACGTTGAACATGCATGGAGCAGCTTTCGCCTTTCCAACTGATTGATAGAGAAGGTGCTCGGGGCCTGCCTGCAGAGGCCGTGTTGCTCACACAGCTCTCGTGTCGTGCAGTGACGCTGGCAAAACTGCCTTTTGCAGGAGCAGCAGGTTTCAGAGGGACTAGCATAAGCTGTCCAGGTAAAAATGCCTATTTCCTTTAACTTTGCTTGTAGTAAAAATTGCCTAACAAGGTAGCATAGTTTAACAGTACTAGCATAGTGTACTGCTATTGTAACATAGGCCTGTGCTTGTAATTCTGCTAGAAGTGCCCTTCTCTTAAAGGCTTTTGACTTCTGGAAAGCTTACAGTGGCTAATGATCCCCGTGAGTTAAACTTTCCTGTTGTCCCGAGCACCTCACTGCCCGGGTTCTCTGAAGTAAGCCGAGGGAGACACTTTGACCAAGGAAAGGAGACATGTGGTGCTGTCCTGTCCATGGCTGTCTCTGGCCTACCAGAAAGTGAAGGGGGCCATCCCAGACACACCACTAGGTTGGCCCAACCTTTAACAGGCACTTTAAAGAAAACATCCGTGCCGTTTGCTCTCGGCATCAGATTCCACATGGCCCGAGTTTCTGCGGAGATCAGGCAGTGGAACAGTTAGATGGGATGGAATTGCAGGCCTTTTGCAGCTTTCCTAGTCCTGACAGATCTCACTCCAAGCACCTTGGACCCCTGCTCACCTTTGCTAGGCATGAGTCCAAATGATGATCTGATTCAAATCTGCTGGTTATAGCTCTGGAGCTTTAATTGGCAATGTTGACAGAAGTTGCTTACAGAATTTTGTGATTTTTAAAGTAAGGGTTTTGGAGGAGCTGTGTGGGAAGAGAAGTAGCATCTTTGTTGTAGTTTGGGTAAAGCATCTGAAACAGTTTTTTAAGTGGCAGTTTCACAAGAACATTTTTTAACAAAAGTTCATACTGTGGATTTTTTAACTGCAGTGCTTGCAGGTAGCAGATGCATATGTCTCTTTTTTCTGCTTACCCTTCTGATTGCAGTATGCTTTTGACAGGATTTTGTATATAAACGCTTCAGTGATACAGCTCATTTATTYCTTTTTCCTTTGCCTTTTAGAAAACAGCATTGGAACGAATTTAGGAAAATAACCACCTATTTTATTGTATATCTAAAGAAACTGGGGGAGAGAGAAAAGGACTCAAGAGGAGGGGACAGTTAATGAAATTATTTTCACTACCTTTTAATTTGAACGTTGTTGAGATATTGTTGAGAATGAAGAGTGCAAGTTAGGTCTGAAATGGCAATCAGATTTCAATGGAGAGATGCAGAACACAACCTCTGTAACTATCCTAGTTACAGAGAACACTCAAGACTATGTGACCAGATCACAAGCATAGAAGAAACATAGAAGAAAAGATGAAGATAAGAAATTTTAGAGTTAGCAGCTTTTGTTACTTTCTGTTTTTCTCCCTGAAGAGGCTATGGAGCCAGGTATTCACACAGCCCCCAGCTACTGTGCTGGTGGGGGGCATGCAGAGTGAAGTACAGAGCTCTGTCTACCTTTTCTTGCAGAGATGTGAGACTTTCAAGGGACTCTCCAGGGCTGCCTCGCTCTCAGCCCCGCTAATGGACTCCGAAGGTTTTGCTCGGTTAATAGACCTTTCAACTAAGAGCGGGCACCTCTGTCACAGGCCACATGCAAAACATCTGTCCGTTCCCTTGATGATGATTTATACTGTTTAAGGGGACGGGGGCGGAACAGGTTGTTAAAAGAGGAAGAAATTGAAAGCTCCCCTAACTGCAGAATTATCCACCTGACATTCTCCAAGTGCTAGTCATTAATTACTAATGTATTGAAAATCAGAGCAGTTATCCAATTCAAATTATGTTACATGTGCAGGCCAGAGCATTTCCATTATCTTATCATTCCCCATTCAAGCAATTCTTCCTTCTCCAGAGTTGTTAGAGGTGCAGAACCCTTGCTCTATTTTGTCTCATTTAGACCTGTTACCACCACAAAGATATTCCTGCTTTATACCCATCCTACCTTCCTGTTGGCTAATATTTGAGTGGATTTACAGTGTAATTCTTAGAAATTCAGTCCTCCAGCTCCCCCCAAACTACACATGCACATCTGATGGCAGAATGTGGCCTTAAGCAATAACATTTTTTTCCAAATCGTGAGCCAATGTTAGGAAAGGATTGAACCTGGTTTATGGCTTAAGCTGCTCTTGCAATCCTTGCACCTGCAGACCTCCCACTGAACACAGCAGGGGATTTGTGTGCACAGTCACAGTAATTTCAGGGCCAAGTTCTCAACCAAAGCAACTCCTTGAAAGCCGGAGGAGATACATCAGTGAGATCTGAACCCAGGCTGGTGAGGCAGGATGTGTTTGTGGAGTCACCAGTAATGTCAGTTCTAGCTGAACTGTGTATTCAGAAATGATGGGTTTTACTTCCTGACTTGTCTGTGCTTTGCTTGCTTGTATTTCTGTGCTTGCCAGCATTCAGAAATCTAGACATCAAGTGTTAGGGGCAGGCAAAATGCAGTTTTTCATGCTGCTGACATGAACTGGATGAACAGACCTTCTCAGACGGGACAGTGTAGGGAAAAGTGTATGGAAAATTGACAAAATAAGGAATTTCACAGCTAAATAAAGACAAGTGGCAGACAAAGGTTTTTAGAGCCTTGGCTTTCATGTGTTTCATCTGGGAATCTAAAAGCATTTTGCACAACAACTAACAAATTAAGATTCACAGCGCCTTTCTGAGGAATATAATTGCTCTTGTCTTATAGATGGAGGAAGGACGGTATTGAAACTATCATCTGAAAATATGTCCTCTGTTTTCAGGTCCCCAAATTGAGATACATTTCAACCCAATTCTCAGAAGCATTAAATAGGTCCATTTATATTCATTCATTTGGCTTTGTTTGTGCCTACCGCCTTGAAAATGAGATGTTTTGCCCCTTTTCTTGCATGGTTAAAACTAAAGGCTGTGAACACACACTAAGTCATGTGGCAGGGATTGCAGAGCAATTGCAAAGCTGACCTGGGCCTGGGTTCTGCTTGCTTGTTGTTCCTGTGCTCTCTCAAACAACTGGAGAGCATAAAGGCACCACTAAGGATTTCAGTTATTGATCTGCTTTGTTGACTCATTTTGCCTTTTCGTTCCAATAGCCAAGAAAATATGTTGAAATTTTGTGATTATGTTTCTTATTGTGGAACTAGCATGGAAACACAGTGAGAATTGTTTGTATCACCTGTTTTTTCCCCATTGTTTTGGGTTTTTTTTAGCATACAACAGTTTTGCCCTTTATATTGATCGAGATGAGAACAACACATCATCAGTACCCCAGCAGGACCTGTGGACTGGCTGCAGTTTGCACCTTTGCGGTTGCCTATATTTTATGGTAAGGACTGTACACTCTGTGTTTTCATACTGTATTGGGGGGTTTGTACTGCTAAATTTGGGCACATATTTCATTATGGATATAATCACTAACAGATCTACACCGCATGCCTCGTTTGGTCCAAGACCTGGGCTTTGTCTGGTTTCCCCAGATGCTTATATTTTTAGAAAGTATATGCCAAACCTCACACAACAGGAATTTGTTGAACAATCCCATGTAAGCAGTGGTCTTTCCAAGCGTACATTTTTGAATCTTTTTTCAAGCTAAATGTTTTTCTTGGACCTCAGTTTTATTGCTTAGGGTTTTTGTTCTATCAAATAAAATTGAGAATAGGCAAATGATTTCCTGCATCAGTATTTAAGCCGCAACAGGAAAGATAGAATGCTGTCTTTTTTCTTTACTAGTTCATAAATTCTTTCTGTAAAATTGATTACAGTAATCCACGCTCTTCAAATTATTTTAAAATATGCAAATATTTGTGAAAAAGTAATTAAAASAGAAATAAGCTTTCTTAAGTAACACTAAATTTTTTTGGGGGGACAGAGTTTCTATTCAGGCACCTCACTTAGATCTAACAGCTAATTTACTTTAGTCTTTTTGGCATTTTATTTTTTACTAAACCTTTGTTTTGTTAACAACACTCCTTTGATACCATAAATCCCTTTTTTATCCTGTGTAGAAACCTTGCATGATTTCCTGTTTACTTCTCCCATCCCTTCTTCTCACTTCACAGCAACCTGCCCTGAGCTAAGACGACACTTTCCAAAACTATGGATAATATTGCTTTTTCAAGTTGAGTGAGGTCAGACTAACGAGAGGGGAACATAGGCTCAAGGCAGTGCTGTTATACTGCCTCTGCTATGTGACTTGCTCCTTTTGTCCAGGAAGGAGAGGACATTATAAGGACACGTCAGAACATACGGAGTGATCGTGAAACAGTCCAGGTTAAGTCAGATGTTGTGTCCAAGGATTCTGTCATCTAATTCTACAAAMAAATTCTTAAGAAAGAACAATATTTGCAATTGAGGTTGGTTAGATAAAGACAATCTTATGCATCAAAGCAAAGGAAAAAAATAACCATGTATAATAATGCACAACTGTGATATTTCTCCATCTTCTTCTGATGGTTCCTAGAGGTGGGATGGCAGAGTTGTTGTAGCAGTATTCTGACCTAATATGACAATTCCTGTTCTCTCAAAATCACCCAAGTAGATCCATTAAAAAGTATTCCACGAGAATGAAACATTGATATATTCTACTTATATAAGTGAAATAAAAACAAAGATGTTCTTTGTTAAAAGATGTTCTTTGATAAAAACAAAGATGTTCTTAAATCTTTTAAAAAAGCTCTGATAGTATCAATGTGAGAAGAACTGTTTTAAAATCTCTTTCTCCAATGGCTTGTGGGACCAGATGCAGAGATGGAYTCTGCCATCATCTGTGAATTCTGCATGTCTTCAGCATTCCAGTGTTATTGAAGACTTTATCCCATGCTTGASTGAGGCTGCATGTCAGTGATGGCTCAACTAATATCAGTACAGTGTATCAGATGTTCACAGGCTGGGAATACCCACCAGAAAATATGAAAAGTATGAGTTTTTCTAATCTCTCTCTCTCTCTCTCAGGGCAAGACCGCCTTTCACAGCTAAAGTTCACTGCTTTCCTACTGCCAAGTAACCATACTGAAGTACTGATTTTATTCACTTAGAGATTTTGGAGTTATTTAATTAGGATTTGCTGCCCTTACTGGCATATTCTTTTGACCCTTCAAGGTTAGCACAGTGCATTAAAAATTGCACTGTTCCTGCAAATGACCTGGCTACAAAACACCATTGTAGAACAACTTTCCTCTGTATCTTTCTTGTCTGTTTCCTCCCAGCTGCTGCTTAGTTCTTAGTGTGTTTGGGTTTTTTTTTTCTTTTAGCTTGAAGAGGTGCTACTTGGGTATTTTTCTTTTTCCCTTTGTAATTCTTCCTGCATCAGAACTGCTTTCATTGAAACTATCCAACTATTAAATTGAGAGATTGCTAATCAGATATTCTTTGTGTTTTGCCTGTGAATTTTAAACTCACTTCCCACTTCAGGTGAAACCTTCAGACCATTCCCCGTGATTTGTATGTCAAGTCATGCTTGTACTGTAAAGGAGCATACAGAAGGGTATGGTTTAGGTTTGTTGTGTTAATGACTTTTTTCAACTATGAAAACTTTTTTTTCAACTTCCTTCCTTCCTTCCTTCCTTCCTTCCTTCCTTCCTTCCTTCCTTCCTTCCTTCCTTCCTCTCATTCTTCCTACTCGTTTGTTTGCTTTTTTCACTCTTAGGAAGGCATTTGAGCTGGCACTTTTATCTCATTTACTCTCCATGAGGGCAAAACCTCCCTTATTCTCAAGGAATTGTGCCCAGGCAAAACATTCACAGACTTGCCTGTTGCATACCATACATGGACTTTCAGGATCAAGGCAATGGGATAAGATGGGAAAAGCCAATTGGCTTTATTTAGCATTGCTTGAAAAGGTCAAAATTAGTGTTGAATTGTTAAATCTAGACAGCGCTAAGAAAACCCAAGAGCTTGCCAGTACTACTAGAAAATACTGCCAATGGGTGGATGGAGTTGGTTGTCAAGGAACAGAAAAAAAAAGCCATAAATGTGTTGTCCTTGTAATAAGAATGACCTCATGGCAACTAATATCAAAGCCTAATATGTCCCTAATATAAATAGAGACAGATAGGTTTAGTTAAAATGGCTTTTTTGTTCCTTCTGCTTTTGAGCTCTTGAGGGTGCCAAGTAAACAGACCCTAAGAATCCAACTCAGCTGCTTTAGTTGTGCTGGGCTACGTGTTTGTGAGCAGAAAAACTTGATCTSCTCTCTTGTTTTTATCTCAAATTCAACAGCAGTTGCTTCTATGTGTGCCAAGCTGGAACTTGATTGATTATTTCATTCTTTAATAAAACAATTTAAGCAGCTCAGGTATCTTTAAACTTTCTTTTGAAAGTACAGTTTCTCCTATAGATGATTTTTTAAAGGTTTGTCTATCTGCTGATGGGTAATTTGCTCAATACTTCTGGAATGAATTCAAAGAAAGAATTAAGTTCTGGGAAAATTTGGAACAAATTTGAAGTAGATACTGTCAGCCTTGTTGTAAAACTTCCACTAGAAATTTGCCATAGAAGGAGAAGATCAAGAAGAGCAGCCTTTGGAAAAGGCATAGGGTTGTAGATTGCTAGGGAAAAAAATGAAATTCAGAAGACAAAGGTGAAGAGAGAACATGAAGGATGGTGAGAAATGATAGCCATTTTGGTAAAGAAATTAGCAGGTTTCTGAAGCAGCTGAGAACAGAAGTGTTGGATACAGATGAGGGAGAAAATACAGAATACCCATGATAGTGCATGCCAGCTGCCTGTATGTAGGGATGGGGTTATCAGTGCTTTTGGGAGAGACTAAAATTCAACAGAGAATCAGTGGCTGGGGAAAATTAGGTGAAAAGTTCTTAAAGCAAGTAAAACGGATGAACTAGAGCCATGGATTAAAAGAGAACATGGGTGAAGGAAATGTGCAACCAACAGGTCAACAGCCTGAAGACATATTAGTAAGTGGCAAAAGCTAGGCCAGAAGAGAGAGAGAAAAGCTTTGAGTCTGATGTGGAAGGCTGATGGAAAGTGGGTGAGAGATGAGACGATGCAGAGGAGGAGAAAAGAGTTGGAGCCCGCACTACTCAGAACAGGAAAGAGTAGGAAGAGGTAGAAGCAGCAGCAGCAGAACAGGAGATGATTAACATCCCCTGTGCCTGACCCAGGAAGAAGGTGGAAGAGCAGAAGGGGTTTCAGCAAGTCTACAGGGAGCCTCAGCCTCCTGGGGTCTGACAGCCCTAACGGACTGCTGTGCCCTGGCTCCCCTCCACCTCCACATCTTCAAATGTTTCAGTCAAAGTAGCAGTGGAATCACAGRTGACATGCACAGATAGTACATTTTCACTTGCCTGTGCAGTTCCTTAAAATATAGCTCAAGAAGTTACAGCAGCCATTGCTATATTAAAATTAAATGTGGTTTATCAAATAGATGACCTCCCATGATGACAATACCTTGTRACTAATCTGCAGTCTCTGTCAGTTTAGCTACCTGCACATAAACACAAATTTCTGCTAAGCTTTGTTCAACCTAGAAGATGCCACCATGCTGAGTTTGTTTTGCATCCAGCAAAACAGCTGCAGTTGTCCAGGATTTGTCTACTTCCAACCACTTAAGCCATGCCATACTGGTAACCTAGTCATGTGCCCCATTTCTTGTTCAGTATCATGCAGTTTGGTGTAGAAGAATTCAGCAGGAGAAACAAGACAGGGTGATTAATGTTATTTGCTAAGTGATGACTATTTATTAAATTTATATATTACTATTTAAAATTTCTAAACAATATACTTTCCTAGTGTAGGCGACATGCCAGACTAGCTAAAATTATAAGGAGCTCAGCATTTTAAGATGGCTGAGAACTTAACAACTCTGAGTAGATGAAAAAAAAATGTCCTATATTTTTTGCAGGCATTCTGAAAATGTCTCTCAAATCATTTCAATCAGTATTAGAAAGCAAAATAGAAGAGAGTGTTCCTGCTTCTGGAAGCTCAGGTTTGGTCCCTACTCTTTAACCACAAATGATTCATTGACTTGAGTTTTTAATGACTGGGCAGCTCTAAGTCCATCACCTCTTTTGGAGGACATTCCACAGTTTAGTAGCCCTCTTTCTGGGCAAAATTCCATTCTGTGGAAAAGGAGGAGAATGATGCTAGGAAAGATTTTTCCTGACAGATCCACAACTGTCAGGAAAAATGGCCTTGGATTTGTTTGGAGTCAAAGAAGCAACATTTCTATGCACCTCACTGGTTACCTGCATGATACAGAAGATATGGGAAAGGATTTACTGCTGCAAGAAGCAACCAGAAATGAACTGCTATAGTAGATCAGAGTAGTCATATATCTAGTTTATTGTCCAGGCCCTGACTGTAGCTAATGTCAGATACYTCAGGAGATTTATCAGGCCATTGTGGAATAACCAGCTTGAAAGGGAAGTTTTTTTCCAACACCTCTGTCAGCAAGTGGATGTTTGGATCTTTGAGTCATGAAGGTTTATATGCCCTGTACTCTTTGAACTTTAACATAACTATACACATTCTTCCTGTCTGTACAAAGTCTTGCTTGTACAAAGAAACTTGATAGGTATGTGTGTGACTGCCCAGAGCAGGGGGATGAAYTAAACATGAGGTCTTCCCAAACTTGCATTCTTTTTTTTTTTTTTTTTGAGTGTCTTCATTTCAGTGATGTATATTGTGATAAAGAGTTCCAGAAGTTAATTAGGCATCATGCCAACTTTAGCATATTTGAGTTTGTTGCTCTGAGTTCCACTGAGGTGCCTCTTATGTTATGAAGAGCATTTGCAGCTCTTCAGCCATTTCATGACACTCATAATTCTGTCCCTTCTTGCTCACAGATCTTTAGAAGCTAAACAGACCTTCATCTAAGAGTTCATATTTCTGGTTTCACTCTGTATCCTCCAAGTTAGTTTTGGGACCAATATAGTCRAAGGATTTTGGCTTGCACAGGGAAGAGGTAGAAGCTCAAGAGTCTGCCCCCAAAGTGCCAGCAAGTTGTAATGCCCCTGCAGGTCTATTCAAAATTATGTAGTTGAAAGCAGCCTTCATAAAGAAGCAGCTGCTTTGTGCTGAATGGCTCCTGCTGTAAACCTCCAGACCACATGGTCATCTACTATGATATCTAGCTCTTGAGCTCTCTTGCACCAAGGTTAGATTTCACATTTGTAGTTGCATTACTCAAAGTGGCAGGTAGGGCACACATGAACCATAACATTCTCGTATTTCTGAAGCAATTACCAAATAATAAACAGTAGATGTACAAGTATTTTCTCTGCATAGCTTTTATTTACTCTAACAAACTTATTGCTGGAAAAATGGTGGGAAAAAAAAGCCTCATTACTTTGACAGCTGAGAAATTCAGAGTCCACTGCAGAGTGGTAGTGAAAAATGATGATGAACTCTGGCTTAGAAATCAGGTGAAAAAATGAAAACATKTTATTGCTTCTTTTTAGAAATTTCTTTTACCTTGGAAGTTCAAAATTTTTTTACTTGAGCTTGGTTTGCCTAATTGAATATTTCCAAATATCACCACTTTTTAAAGCAACATTTTATTTTTGAATACAATACAGAAATATTTCTACTCCTTTGTCTTACTGCTTCTAATGACCARTAAGATTAACTCTGCAATCTGTAACACATTCATCTTTGAAAATAAACTCCATGTTGTGTCACCAGTCTACATAGGCTGTCAAAGAACCAAAACATGGGAAGATGCTGTGTTAACTTCATCTGCTGAAAAGCAGTTGTCCTAGTTTTAGTTTAAACTTTTTCTCCTTAGAATATTTTTATCTAAATGACACTTTTTTAAAAAAACCTGCTCAATAGCAGGGTCTTAAATTGCATCGAGGTTTGCACTCGAAGTAAACCATAATGCCTGCTCCCCTGTGCTTATCTAATAATGAGGTCGGACGAGAATAAAGCCTGCTGGAACTGCCGCGTTGAAGGCATTCATTAACATTAGCAATCAGTAGCTGTGTGTGGAAGCTTTATGCCCACAGTTGATCAGCTCTTCATTGTGCAGCGTGGCGTTAGCTTGCGCTCAAGGAGGAACGAGCTCCCTCACAAAGGCCATCAGGTAAGGTTTCCATGGTAGCGTTTGTACTTGTGCTGCTCCCATTCCTGATCCAGACAATGCAGGAATAGTCAGTATGTCATTGCTCAGTGCAGACAAGTCTAATATTAGTCTTGCCAAGCGCAGGGAGCTGGGTGGTAGGGCCCGTTTGAAGGAAGGTCAGGGTGGTTGGCCAGGTGGGTTTGTGACCTTTGTCTCCTGAGTGGCACTTGGTCCTTTTGGTTCGTGTGAGTTCCTCTGCATTGTGGCAGCTCTGGTAATGGGCACCCAGCAGCTAAYTTGAACACATAAGCAGTGTTACCAAACAAATAACAGGCCAGCATTTTGGCCACCAAAGAACAGCATTCATAAAATGTACTCAAAGATTCTGAGCTAGCAAGACAGAGTTGGCATTCAGGAACTCATTAATGACTCATTTGTTGGATTTAGAAAATACTTTGGCTTTCCTACCTAAATGCTTTCTAGTAAATGTCGCTTCTGCATGCTTCAGGAACTTGAATACACAGGTGCAGTTTAGAAGCTCACTTCAAAAGTTCYTCTGTAAAGATGCTGCTGGGTAGTTTCATCAAGCCAGAAAAAAAAAATAAAAAAGGTGAAAAAGAAACACTGTTTTTGGTTTTTGTTTTGTTCCAAGTTTTTTTACATGGAGCTTGKTTACTACAAAATGATCATAAATAAAAGCAAACCAGCTGAAGAACGTCAGACAGTAATAGGCAATCCAGCAAAGCTAACCWAAGCTAGTGGGAATGGAGGACATCCAATAACCTTCTACTATCCGTTTTCTCTGATCAAGTGGAATATGTTGAATCAATCCTGTTACGATGGGTCACACAGTAACTCATTTTCTCACAAATACGCTGGTCAGAGGTTCATTCTGGCAAAGAATGATGCTTTAAAAATGAACTGCAAACAATACAGAGATSATTTTCCATATATTTCTCCTTTGGAGAAAGAGGTTTTAATTGGCATTTAGATCATGCAGCTCATCTTACTGACATGTGCAGATTCCTAGATGAAGTGTCCAACTGTTAAGGATTTGGATGTAATAAAAGCTTTTCTAAGGAGAAAGGAAGCTATGACAACCATGTGCATTTCCAGGGTGAGTGAGAATCAGTACACAGGGATTTTGGACACCTGCTTTGTTCCTCTCTAGCTGTGCTTCACTGTGAGCTCCCCCTCCAAGTGACAAGATCAGAAAGGCATTGATTTAAATTCTTGCAGGGAGTCCAGCAGCTCACAGGGCCAGGGCTGGTCTCCACTGAGCACCTTTCCCATTTCTCCTCTATTTGCTCTCTTGCATGGCAGCTGAATCCTTTTGACATGTATAGCTTCCCATTGCTTGAACGTATGGATTCTGCTTCCTCTGACATCTCCACTCACCATTTTGGGTTTCACTGCAAAGCCCATCCTTGCAGAGAGGGCAGGTGAACACACACCAACAACCATGTTCATGTCCACTGCAATCACTCACAGAGAAACTGCGTTATCTGGAGCACTCCTTCTGACCCTATTGCATTAAAGCTGGTTTGCTGTCCCTTGGGCTAGTATTATTGCAGTCAGCACTGTGTCTGAATACTAGAAATCTCAGTCACCAGCAAACCATCAATATTCTCTTTCCTTTATTGTGTAGTGAGTGTGAAGTTGGGCGAGTTTTCACTGAGGTGACAGGATTGATATTTTTCTTCATCCTACAAAGAGAGAAAGATGATTAGTTCCCAAATGATAGCAAGTCGGTAAAATGAGGAGCAACCATGAGGAGAAACACTAGTGCTGAGCAAGTTAAATCATTCTTTTAAAGAGAAGCTGAGGGTTTCTCTTTAAAGAGCTTCTCCTAAAGGCTTCTCCTTAAAGAGGGCTGGCAAGCCCCCAGACTGAGGTACTTGCCAGGTGAGGAGAGGAAATGCATTAGAAACACAGAAATGTATACAACGAGGAAACAGATACTCCAGAAAGCAGAAAATCTGGACACGTCGTGGYGCCTTGAGAACACTGAATATTCTTTGGATAAAAATCTTGCTTGGAGTTGTGTTGCTGTTTTAGTGCTACTGGGTGAAACAAGTTTATATATTTCCTTTGGGAATAAACATGAATGCATCAAAGAAATACCTGCCTACATCAGCAATTTGTCATCACTGAAGCAAGCTGTAGAACCTGAGGATTGTCCCACTGTTCAGGTTAAGTTAAGAAAAAGCAATAAGATTGCAGGAAATCAGTCTCATTTTCATCATTTTTGATCTCAGTCTGGAAGGGTATCACCCCAGGTGTTTGACGAGGCTAAATTCATTGCAGCCTGCAGTCTTTTCAAATAGTTTTTTAAGTACATAAATGGCCCAAGCAACTTCTGTAAAATAAAAAAAAAAAAAAATTAGAAAAAGAGCTATTACAGTCAGTAATTGTCATTTTTGTTCTGTTACAGGGTGTGCTGGATTCACCATGTTACGGGAGTGTGGGTGTACCCACTTCTTGAGTATCTCAGCCCAGGTGTCAAAATAATCTTCTTCACAGCTGTTACCATAATAATTAACATTTTCTACTTGCTGGGAGAAGTTCTGAACAACTACATATGGGATACCCAAAAATGTGAGTATTGTTTTAGCAACATTAATCCCTGAAAGACTCTGTCAGGACTTGCTTCCCTGGAAGTCTAGGCTAAAACAAAGTAGAATGAGAGAAGTTCCATTGAAACTTTAAGCTTGCTCTTAACAACAGTCAAGCAAATGGAATGGCTGATGGAGAACATGATTAGCTATGAATATTTATTATTTCTTATAACTTCCAAACTAATTTAAGCACTCTTGACAATTACCTGAATGATTTATAACCCACCTAGTTTTATTAGCTGATGACTCCATTAAATGTAGCTAGAATAAAGTATAGTTCTGTGGGAAAGTTGCTAATGTTATGCTTAGACATAGAAAGAAAAAAAATCTTCTAGTATTTTCAGTTATAAAGTGTTTACTGCTTATAAATTTACTCAAGGAAAAGAATATTCACATCAGCAAATAGCAATGAAAGATCACCTTAGTGCCGGATAAACAAAAGTCTGTGAGCTTTACATTCTTCTACCCTATCTAGGCCACCCATTGCCAAATAAAGGAAAAGGGATAGTAGGACAAGCACACAATTAGAATTAGGTTCCTTTATTCTCTTAAAGATCTTTTTCATTTATATGAATGCCTTAAATAGGCAAACATCTTCTTGATCATCTCAATGGCCAATCATAAATGGAGTGAAATCCTTTCTCAATGGGAATTTTGTCATTATATTCACTGGGCCCTTAACCACATTGTGACCAGGCTGTATCTGCATTTGAGAAACTTATTATGAACTGATTATTCACAAATTCACATGGTAGCTTGCTGCATGCTCAAATCTCTTAAGAAGCCCCCCAATATAACTCTAAGTAGAACCTGATACCRCAAGCTTAGAGTAGTTTTACTTGCCATTTGCTCATCATGCTGATACAGAATCTGTGTTTTAGTCTAGATCCAGTGATCATTTGTCACAGTTTGGTCTGCAAAGTCTGGGTTTGAGTCTGCAGCTTGATGTCACATTTGCACAGTGTATATAATAAAATTTCTGGTTCTTGTGGCCCTCAGCCTTACAAGAGTTAAGAGCCTTCCAGTAGACTCACTGTGGCCATATTATCCCCTGTGATTTTCCCTTGTGTTGGTCCAAGAGTATTGACCCAGATTGCTGCATGGCAAGCCTGCAAGTGGCATCAGTCACCTGTTATTTTGCCACACTTGAAACAATTTGCATAAACCAACTCTGAAGTGTGTGGCAGGTGCACCCCAAACAGCAGAAAAGTGAAATAGTGACAATCTGTCATCATGCAAGATTTCAAGAGTACATATTTGGAAACTATGCATTTAGAAGGGGCTTTTGAGCACTGAAATTCAAATTAATCTACTTTGAGAAAATTTCAGCATGCTGGAGGGGTTAGTGATTGGATTTTTTTCCTTTTCTGATAGAGATGCATAAATAAAACCTCCCTACTGMCAAAATGATTTGTAGGTAGTTTTTCCAAGTTAAACCACAAGCATAGTGGGCAAGGAAAAACTTGCCCTTTCTACAAGCCAGTGTCTGTCCACAGTTTGAGACAATGAGCTTTTCTGCCAAACTGCTTAGTATGTTTGCAGCAGAGTACTTCAGAATAAAGGAAAGGGGCTCTATTTAAAAGATGAATAAAACATTTCAGTGAAAACTACTGGAAATGTTCCTTACAGCAAAAAGTGAGAGATTCAAGATTGACTCTTCTAAACCCACTGTCACTTTTTGGATCCATCCTTTTGTTTTGGCTTGAAACCATTGACACTGGTTCTKCTATGATTTTGGTTTGCCAGCCACACTGTGGCCCGCTGTACTTAGCACCCTGAAGCTCTGCTTTTTGACTGCAGATGTGTCTTGCTGTTTCCACCTTGGAGTTAATTAGCTACATCTCTACAGTGTGTCTTGGTATAYCTACCATCTATGCATATATTGCATTAGCAGGTGAACTTACTTGTGACTGGGTTTTCCTCTCAATATTCTCAAAAATTGTTTCCCTTTTGCTTTCTTTCTTTTCCAACATGCAGCAAGCTTGAAAATGTCCAAAAGAAACATTTTTATATGAGATGTTTGGCAGAGGGGTCTTGGTCATAAGAACAATACTTCTGTCAGATACCGATAGTAATTCAGTGTTCAGGAACAGCACATGAAATAGCTGAATGTTTTCATTGCCAGAAAAAACAGTCCACTGCGTGGCCCAGCCTTCACTCAGCATAGACAAGAGAAAAGCTCTGCAGCAAGGATAAGGTTCTTAAGGAGCCCAGCACTKAACTCAGCAGTCCCGATATTACAGAAAAGTGGCCACTGGCGAGAGGAGAGAGGTACCCTGTCGACAGTCGTTGGTTCTTCGTTCACATAACCTCAAAAAGGGAGATGTGCTCGTACATTTCTAAGGATCTTGTGTCGAAATGGGGATGGGGGGGCCTAAACCCACTGAATTATAGCACAAAAGTTCGAGAGCTTGCTCTCAAATTGAGCCAGCTGCTCAGCGTCAGCCAGCAGTAGCTATCACAGCATCTGCTGTAATTGGCTTGCAGGTAAGCAGAGGAGTTCAGGGAGATAAACTGCTCACGGTGCCCTGCAGYCGTGAGAGGCTGCGTGTGCCACGGGGGCACAGCCTGATGTGGAAAGGGCCTGGAGGGAGGAAGGGTTATGCAGTTCCTTACTGGACAGCCACCGGCACCAGGTGTGCAGATCCTCTTTTCTCTCCCAGYAGGTGAGGCCACGCAGGAGAAGGCTGTGTGAGCAAGTGGCAGGGGTGAGATAGTAAAGGGAAAAGAAATATTAGAGCATTACAGAAACCTCTTCATTTTTATCCRCTCGGGGATTTTTAAAAGGCGCTCTTGTCATTTTTTTTTCAGGTATTGAAGAAGGAAAGGAAAAGCCTAAATTGGAGTGAACATTAAATGCAACATGGAGGATTTTTTAATGACTCCATGCAAGATTTCTCATCGCCAGCAGAGGTTGTCATGGAGAGGAATCTTTTGGAAACAAGACAGTAATCAGCCTCTACTCAATGCAAAAAGGATATCAAAAGGATATTTTGGGTGGTTCTGTGGAAAATAATAATGATTTTAGCTATGAACACTAATTATGTTTCAGTCTCCCTCCCTATTTCTTCATGCTGCATGTGACATGCGTATGGATGTGTATTTATCTCCACAGCATTCTCAACATGGATTACTTGCATCAGAGAAGTCATCAAACCATTAAGTTTTTCCACTTGCATCATGGAGTCCATTCCTAATATCATTTGAGAAAAGCTTAACCAGATAGGTCTAATGTGGGAGAAAAAATAATGCTGTACTTTAAAGTACTGTGTAAAGATCTGTTAAAAGTTGATTGCATGAATGTATCTGAAGAAGAATTCAATCCGACTGAAATATTAATGTAATTTTATGTAACAGTTGCCTTAAATTCCTGATGTTTATAGTTAGATCAGTGCAATCAAGTTTTATTTGCAGTGATAAGCTATCTGAATTGAACTATTCTTAAATATACATAAATAAAAATCACATTACCCCCAAATTTCTGTTTCTTCATGCTGATTCTTGAAATTCTAGATGCATTGATGGTGTGTGAATGATATATTTGGGGCAGTTTGCAATGTCAGTTGTAGATTATGCTATTTCTACACGAGCATTTTTCTTGACGTTTTCCTAGTACAAGACCTGAGTCTGCATTTCAGATCGTAAGTTCTCAAGAAATGGACTGTGCCATTAATGCTGCACCAGAGAGAACACTTAAGCCTTGCTTCAGGGAGGCACGTAAACAAATGTTCAACACATGCCTGTGTGTATTAGAATTCAGTTGAAAAATACTAGCCATAGTCTAAATTTGACAGAGTTTTTTTGTTGTTGTTTAATTATTAGACAATCAGAAAGGAACTCTAGCAGGCAGGAAAAGTGCTTAGAATTAGAATAAACAATGTGAGTGGAATAATTTTCACCAAGAAATTATTCTCCAAAAAAAGCAATTTAAAGATCCAAATGTCTTGAAGTTTACTTCACGCATATATTTATTAGTGCATTTAAGTACATCTATTTTAACATATGCAGAGCGCTTGAAAGATGTGAAATGTTTATGTGTGATTTTTATTAAAGGGATAACAGCAGAGGTTTAATTCTGGAACAAGAGTTCATTGGGGGAAAATGATCTAATGCAAATCATGACATGCCTCCTCCAGTATCTTTTATGATCCACTTATGTTTATGTATATGCTATTATAGGAAACTATGCACTACTTGGAGAATGTGGTTTGATTTTGGTGTTTAAGGAAAGATTAGGGGATGCTGTGACCGTTTGCTTGTTTCTTTTGGTTGGTTTCCTTAAAAAATAAGGCTTCTAAGATTATGTTGCCTTTGTGTCTCTCTGCCTGTCTTTTCTTAATCATTTTTAACCCATTGGCCAGAGATGTAAAGATTTGAAAGCTAAGCAAGTTACTAGAGATTTTATGCAAGTGTGTGCCCAGATAAAGAAGGAACCTCCAGTGGTCCCTTGGAAACCATGGTACCATGAACTCACATAGAATCCAGGAAAAGAGCCATGGTAAAGCTAGCACAGCCAGTGGAAAATTTGCAGCCAGTTCCTTTTTAAAAAATTTTTTTTTCTTTTTTTTCTTTTTTAACATCAAAGTGAACAAACTTCAGGGCACACAGAAAAAGGCAGAATTTCGAGTTTAAGATTTCTTGAATTTCTTGAATAGTGATGTCTAGATACCACAGGAAGAACTGTTTTAAAGGACCCGAGGCTGCTTTTGGCTCCTAAGAAGTTAAGCGTCCGTCTCTTGCTTTCCACTGCACGGACAAGTCACCGCTGCCAGAGGTGGGTAACGCAGCGTGGGAAGAGCCGGGTAGGAGGGCAGCCTGGTTAGCACAGCCATGATGAACCATGCTGGRAAGCAAAGCACAGACTCGGATGGCTGTGCACAGAGCTGGGCCCAGCGTCCGCTTGTGCATTGCTGTGGGCGACCTCAGTCCCACTCACTGCGCAGAACATGCAAAATGCAGCAGATCCCCAAAGCTCCTCTGTACAGGTCCAGCACTGAGCAAGGTACCAGCTCTGCACAGGCCTGTCCTGAGTCTGCTGTTTGTTTGCCCCAGCTCTGTGCCAAATAAAAACAAGTTTACTGCTTATGCGCTCAACCTGCCTTTGGAAGCAAATTAGCTGTAGCCACGTGGCCTTGCTGCAGMGTTGTTGTGCTGCTGGATCCCAGCTGACTTGACAGAGAGGTGCAGATCTTCTGCTGCGTGGTTACTCTGTCCACAGATAGCTAAGACTTGGTTTTAATAGATGGTTGTTACTGGAGATGGTAAGATGTCTGTGATCTCAGCAGGCTTTCAGAACTCAGCAAGGAAAGCAAACATGGATCCAGTCATGCTTCGGGGAGCTACGAGCTGTGCTTTTGAAAGCTTTGGTAGCATGTGAAAGCTATGGTGGAGAATGAGTGTGCCAGAGAATCAGACCATACTTTGTAAGAGCAGCAGCAGCAGCAGTGAGTATCAACTGTGGTTTAGGGTGGCAAACCCAGAGCACGTACCCCTGACTTGTTTCCCATTGGCGAACCTAACTYGTGTTGCACTGTTAAGCCTAGGTTAAGTCTAGATGGATTTTTTTCCGTCCCTGAATTCAAGAATTCTTCCTGTTGAAAAGGTGTTAAATAAAAAATAAGAAATGCCAGATTGTCACACAGCTGTAAACCTTCTGCTGGAGCACACCCTGAATGTCACTCCCGTGTTGATTGTACCACTGGTGCAAAGGGGTTGCAAACTGCCTGTTGATGGAAAGATTCCTCTGCCTCATTGGTTTTGCACCTGCTCAAGATAAATTTTCTTCTAATAACATGTCCTTTAAAGTGACATTGGGAGAAACATAAAAATACAAAGGAAGCAAAGAGACCAAATATTACATAGCTGAATGAATAGGTAGGGGATCAAGTGAAACACGACTGCTTTTCAGAAGTACATAGTACTTAGAAATCTGCACTTAGAATTATCTGYCCATATACCTGTGAATATGTCGGTATTCAGCACCTCAGCACAATAAACCAGCAAGGTTCAGTTATGGGCTTGAGTCTCTATAAAGGTGGCAATATTAGTCAAAAGCARTATATGGGCACAAAATGTGGTAGGRGTCRTTTGATCTAATGAAATAATAGTACYTTGAGACGCTTTGAGCTCTATTTGTCTTTCCAAATTTCAGAAAGTTCTCCACCCGCTATGAGCTTTGAATCACAGTATTTAAAGTCAAAAACAGTTTAGAGCACTAAATCCAACCTATGATGTATGAACAATGGTATAAATAACTTAGAGGCCTGTGTACCCAGGGAGCACTCCTCTAGACCATGTTCATTCCCTTTGGAATTACACAATCCATCATTCTTAAGAAAGATGATGGATGAATGATGACTAAAGTAAAAGTCACTTGTAACTTTGCCAAATTTCAGCCATTTTGGCTGAAAGGTATTTTTCTCAGGACAACTATTTTTTTGGGTGGAAAAAAGTTGTCAGAACAAGTCATCCAATACAAGTACAAATCTGTGGAAAACATTTTTTTTCTATGTCTAACAAACTTTTCTCTACCTTCCTCTTGCTCTGGAGATAGTTGTTTGGAAGAARGGTAGCAGTTACATTAGGAACACTTTCTACTGTATGGGAAAAATCTATTTGTTTCTGTCCAAAATTTAGGGGRAAAAAGCCTTCATTTTCTTGTGAAGTAGAGCTGAATTCTTCAAAATATTTGTCAACTTTGGAAGTGATCCAACTTCTGGCTGAACAGGATTTTCCCTACAATTCCTGATCTTTGCAAGGCCACACAGAATCTGGATCCTAAAGCAGATTAGTTTGTTTCTTTTGTATTATCTACAGCTCCTCAAAGCTTGTGCAAATACAACTGCCTGCATCAAATATGAAGGAGGCAAAATCTCAYTGAAACTTAAGCAATGGGAAAATTTGTAGATGAATAACCTGAACAGAAAGACTTCTAGTCTTTCCCTTGAGAGTTGCAGTAAAATAAAATTATCACTGCTTGTTAAGTAYGTTAAGTTTAGCTGCAATGGTAAACCACCAACCAAAAAAACCTGTGAAGGAATTATTACTTTTATTGACAGAAAAAAAAAGATAGAGTTGATAAAGCAGGATGCTTGATTCTTGAAGAAAAAATAAAATAATGTTATAGTGTTTTGTCAGTGAACAAAATCCATCATATGTCATGAATGAGACAGAGGGAAAAGTATTGTGTGATCATCTAAATAAAGGCAGTATCATAATTCATACTCACAAGGGGCCAAATTAAGGTTGAACAGACAGCCTTAATTCTGACATTACCTCACTCTTGAGGGCCTGACTTTGCAGTCTTAATGATACTCTTTTGGCTTAGTATATACTGAAACAAATAAATCAGGACTTTTCAAAGAACTTCAGAAGATATAGTCCTATGAATTTCACTGTGACAATATGGGCTTTTTGGCTTTTGAAAGCTCATTCTTGCTTTCTATATGAGTTTAGCTACCCCAAAACATGTATGCACAGTTCTCATATCAGCCTACCACTAAAAGATTGCCATTATTTACTGATTTTTGCCACAATTTCAACATCAAATTATTTTAGTCAGTGATTTAGTTTTTGTGTTATAAAAAAGTCCATTTTTGTGTTATAAAAACTGTCTTTCTATAGTAATCATTGCCTTATTTTAAGGGAAACCAGCAAACATTTTCCCCAATATGAAATTGCTTCTTTGCTTCTCAGTCCACCTGAGTAATATTAGGTAAACTGCCATCACGGTATGTCAAAGCACTGGACGCTGCAATTAGACAGAAAAATGGCTAAAAATCCAACAGGGTGACAGTTTGCAATGACAGTCTGTAAGATTCGTGTTTCTCCTCGATTTTCTCCTTCCAAACTTGCAATTAGGCTACTTTAAATCCTGACAACACTCTCTTCTTCACCTTTCATTTTCTAYGAAGATTGGCCAGCCCGAGGGGCTCTAGGATAAACTATGGTAATCTCCAAAGACTCTGACAGCACCAAGTGGCATGTGGAAAGGATTCCTAACCTAGAACTCAAGTTAAGACCGGGTCCTGGGGAGGCTGCCCACCTCAGATATGCTGGAAACGCTACAGCAAGGTGAATGTCACGGGGGCAAGTTTGGTGGCTTTGTCCTGGCAGTAAATGAGCAGGCAAGAGGGGAGGTCCCTTCTGAAGGCAGCTTGGGCACAGCTGTAACACTCACCCTGTCTTGTTCCCGTGTTCAATGTGAACGGGGCAAATATTGGCCACAAATGAATCCTTTCCATCAGAAACAACAATGAAAGGAAGCATTCGATTAGAGCATGATGCACGCTTGTAGGAAAGGTCGTATCCACTGGGGAATGGCAGCCGCTCTGCACTGCTC